CCACCACCTGAAAACTCCCCTCCAAGCTACTCCCCACCCTGGCTTGAAAATATATTGCCATCCCTTCAGTGTTGCTGATTCAAAATCCTGGAACTCATTTCCTTAATGGAATTGGACTGCAGTGATTCAAGAAAACAGCTCACCAAGGGCAGCTGTGATGGACAAACAGTGCTGTCCCAGCTAGTGATAATCACATCCTCTAAATAAAATTTTTAAAAACCTCGATCAACAAGATATAACTTTTTCAAGGGTTTTAACAGCAATGCTAATTGCAGAAGTGAGAGGTTTTGTCAATTCACTGATTTCTTACCAGTTAGATTCAATTGATCCTCAACGGTATACCCTCTGAAATAGTGTAGAGTGACTGAGAGCAACCTCTAGATTTCTATACTATTCTCTGCACCTGTGCGCTCTTGCAGTTCCTATCAGTTTAAGTGAGATGATGAACATGGTGCAGACCAATTTATGTGGCCAAATTTCTATAGCATAGAACATGACCATTGGTCCAATGCACCTGTGTTGACTCTCTGAATGAACTATCCACTTTCTAACATACCCCTGGTAGTATGTGTGATTTTTAAAAATATTTTATGGATTCTGCATCCGTCATTGTTTTTTGCAGGCTCTTCCATGATTTTTCAATTTCCTGCATTAAAAATATTCGCAATCTTGGCCTTTGCTCTTTTGACTATGACCTTAAGTGCATAACTCTGGTTACTGACATACTGACCAGTGGAAATATTTTTCCTTTATTTACGATGTCAAAACATTTTATAATTTTGAAATGTTGGGTGTCATGCACCCATTTAAAGAAATTGTTTTTTAATTAAATTGTTTCCAGTTGAAGGATCCTGGTTTACTTCTGTTAATGTTAGTCACTACAGAGATGTCTTACCTCTGCCACTGAGGACAGGAGAATGCAATGTTTTTGCCCTGTTTGTCTGTTTGTTAGCAATATATCTTAAAAGGTAACTCACAAGTTTCAATGAAACATGGTACACGGGAGGAACTAATTCATTTTTTGGTGAAAATATAGATCTGAAAAGAGATTCTGGAAGTTTTCAAAGAATCCGTCAATGTTGGAAGACAGGAAAAATTGACGTTTGTTTTTCAGTATGATTTGGGTTCTTTTATTTAGAATATGGTCTGTTTTAGAATGTTGTGGATTGTTTTGCCTGCTGTGGTGCAAGTTGTCACAGCTGTAAAAACATGAGCAGAGTTTTCAAAGCAGGCTGCTGGTCATAAATTGGTCCAAAACCACTTCAGTGGGGTAGAAGTTCATAATAAAAAAAATTTTTTCAACTTCAAACATACAGAGTACCAACCAAGCAGGAAAAAGCCCCCAGGAAGAGCTGCATAATTTTAAAACCTATAGCTTGCCAGAAATTTTTTTATTTGATGTTTTAATTTGCTATTAATAAGTTTGCATTTTAAGTATGTGGGCAGAAGAATGCACTGAGCAGCTTTGTGAAATTACAGTTTTCTTATCTTTGACACTTTAAAACAACGTCTCCTTGGGTTACTGTTGAGTCCAAATTTTATTTTAAAATTAAATTTACTAAATTTATATTTTCTGCTCTTTTTGTTTAATTGATAGTTTCATTATGTTTCAGTATCCCTGCTATGAATAAATCCCATTTTGAATTGAGAAGGTGTAAATCCTTTGTTTGTTAACTTAGTACTTGGAAACATTATGTTGATTCAGTACAAAATATTAAACCTCAATTAGAAATTATTTAAAATGAATGGTTTCTCCTGTTAACTGGAGGAAAGTGAAAATATGGTGTACAAAACTGCATGGATATAGAAACACAACTGTCAAAACTAATAGAATTGAATCCCTACGACTGGAACCAAAGTCAATGTTGTGTGTAATGTGTACTGATGCACCTTGTCAGCCAATCAGAATTATACAATAGCCTAGGGTGCAATCAAATTTTCATTAAATGTCAAAAAAAATTCTTTCTAACCCAATTGTCTGAGCTAGGCTTCAGCAGCTCCTACTGTCTTGTTGCTTTGCGTGTCTGCGTTCACCATTGCCCATCTGCCTATTGATTGGTAAGAAGCCCAGAATGGGAATTCCATCTCATTAATCATGTCACAGAACAGGAATTAAGACAAGTCTTTGGTTTAAGCTGCACAGCACCTGACCATTGCCCATCAGTGCAGTTGATAGCTGATGATATGCAAAGAATGCCTGAAGCCCCATGAGGTCATCTGCCAGCAGAACTTCTGAACAGCCTTCCCTCACGACTTGGCAACTGCAGCCAGATAACATTGTTGTTAGCATCAAAGGCCAAAATAGGAAGTGCATAAAATGATAACTAGAATTGTCAATATGCTTCTGGCTAAATAAAAAATTTTGTCATGAGCTCTTTGGTTGAAACTATGAAAACTGGAATGACCCTGTATTTTCCTTGCCAGGCTTTTGAATTTCATTGTAATACTTTTTAGACCATAAAATGTTTTTGATTCCAAAACTGAAATAAATGCTTTTAGTAGGGCAGGAAGATGCTCCTGCTTGTAGGTAGATGCTGGCAGCTTTCCCAGCCTGACACAACTTAAAACAGAATTACTACTCTTCAAAAGCAATTTGCAATAAATACAACTTTTACTAATGCTGAAAAAAGAACACTATCTTGTCAATTATCATATGTTGCTGGAAAATAATATCATTGCTATACAGGGACTAAATTCTAGGGAAAGATAATCCATAAACAATGTCTTGGAAGCATTCCAACAATTTGGCATCTCTACCTTCATGTTCAAAGGCTGTATTCATAATGCTCTTCCTTTTCTTTGCACCCTGCCAATCTTGACTTAATTTAGTTGTTATCTTAAAACCCGAAAAAGAATGGGCAGGAAAATGTAGTGAATGAAATCTATTCTAGGAAAGGCTGAGAAGTGGAAATTGTATGTTTTATTTAATTAAAAGGGACTGTTTTCTATTGGAGGAAAATGATTGATGTCACACAGGTTTTTACACTTAGATACCTCTGAGATGCATTCAATGACTTGTTCTTAATTTTACATTATGACTTATTCTAATACTCATTTTGGGAACTCAGTCAATATGTTTACACGTGTGCACAGGCTGTTTCAAAATTTATAAGCATAAATGTGCCTTCATCAAGCTGCTTTTCTTGTATCCACTGCTTTATTGATTGAAGCTGTCATGGAGCAATGAATCCTTTGATTGCATTCTAAATGTAAGCACCATTAATGTGTTTGCTGTCATTGGAAATTCTGAGTATGAATATAGAAGGGAGTAAGGGCGCTGGTAATAAAATAAATCCATTAATGGAAGTAAATGTATCGAACATAAGATGAAAGTGTCTGTATTTTTACAATTCTCTTTTTCATGTTGCATGAACTCATGATTTTCTTGGTGGACTGCTGACTTGTGTGGTGAAACAGATAAGGTTAATTCTACATTAAAATCTCCATGACTTATGTTTTCATGTTAAATTGGCAGTGAAAGAATTTAATATTAAATTTTCAAGTGAACAGATGGAACACTGTCCCTTTGCTTTAACCCTCAGCTTCTATGCTGTTGTTTTATAAACCATATTGTCCTAAATTCGCTTTCATTAAATTTCTTACTACATTCTAGCAAAATAATGAACTTCTATTAGTGCAATTCAGCTAAGCTAATGGTGTTTGTTTAAAATTCTGCCTGTAGATTATTGCACATCCTTCCAGTTAGTTTTTTCAAACAACAGATCATATTGAGCCTCAGAAACAGACAGCCAACTTGATCCTGACCATCTGGCAGTACTGTTGTTTCATTGTCTTGTATCAGATAGTCAAAGGGGTCACTGTCCCTCAAATATTGTTATCTTTACATATTTCTTTCTTGTGTCTGTTGAAAGCAAGAATACATCATATGAGGAATTTTGGACTTGAGTCAATCAGTAAGAATTACCTGTTCAGTCTTTGTCAGATACAAAACTAATAGTTTGGGAGGAGATGTTGGTGATAAAATACCTGCTTGTGAAGGATGTATTCCATTATTAATGAGCAAATTGATCAGTTGCTTGTGGCGCGCAAGAGATGTCCTGTGAATTGTGAATTGTCACAAGTTACTCAAGAAATTGTGGCACACCGCTCTTAGCTTCACAAAATTACATCTTCCACTTATCCTCCCTGTGACCTTCATGAGGTTGCAGCATTGATTTTTCTTCCCTGTATAGTTTCTAACACAACACCTAATATCTGCCATTAATTTAGGATGCTTATCTCTCACCAGCAGGAAGGGTACACAACCCATTGATGTTTCTCCCACAGTTTTATCCTTCGTAGCAACAAAGCCTGGGTTCGTCGTTCTGAGGGAGAAAGGAATCAAGCTTGAATAGTTACGTTGTTTTCAACAACCTCGTGTGATATCTTTACCTGTTAATCTAATTGCTACACACCACATGGAACCCCCTCGGTAGCTCTGTCAGCTACTTACTTTTGGTCTATGAATCATTCCAACATGGTTTATTTGTCTAATTAATGTGAAGTTAATTAAAGTTTGAGGTACAACCAAATGCTTACAACTTTGGAACATTGAACATCTTTGACAGTGGCTAAACGTATTATATAAAGTTCGATTTTTGCTGATCAGCATGTATAACACATGAACTCAGGTCCTACTTTATGATAAATAGCTTTATAATGCAAGTTATTATCATAAGTGTAAATCTTACAACATTTGATCATTGGTAGTGTGACTGTGAGTGAGATCATAAATCCTTGTACAAGTCAATAATGTACCTAGAGGATGCTTTATGATGATTCATTAAATATCTTAATTTTCCTGCATTAATTTAATCAGCATAGCTCAAAATGACATTCTACATTAGATGAACAGACTTGAGTAGAAAAGACAATCGCTCAATATAAAATGGGCAGCCCTTTGATTTATTACCACACTATGAATACATCGTCTTACACAGCAAATATGTGATGTGTTGTGATCTGAAGGAGCTAACTGGCTTTCTACTTTTTATTAACAGGACATTGTTTTATGAGCTTCGAGTGGCAATGGAGCAGATGATAGCCAGACCTTCCTGTCCAACTTTCATCCGAAGTGCATGTAACAAAGCTATAAAGCTCATCTGTAAGCTTGCTCCAGGGTCATAGAATTTGAGATTTTTCTCAGCACAAGATAATGTGCAAATGATAGAATTTGTAACAATTTTGAATTCTGTAGAACATTCCCATAGTTTATGTTCAATATGTTATTTTTATTTTTGTTTAAGGTACATGTCATTTCCATCACAGAAGTAAATTTATTTTTGATTGTTGGGTGATGAGAATGAATATCAGATGACTGAGTCACATAGTTTACTTTAAATACTGTCTGCAAAATATAGGTTTGTGGGAAAACAAACATTGATGTGCAACCACTGCATATCCAGATTAATACTTAGCCATTAATTTTTTTGCTTTATTGTTTTGTATGGTACATACAATTGTAACCCTAATATGGATAGTCTTTAACACTTATTCTCCATGTGGAAAGTACAAAAAAGTAGTTTTTAATAAAATAATGGATGTTTGACATTGGATGCACAATATCATAGAACAGTACAGCGCAGGAACTGGCCCTTCGGCCCACCATGTCTGCACTGACCATGATGCCATTCGAAACTAATCCCATCTGTTTACATGATCCATATCCTTCTGTTCCCTGCCTATTCATGTATCTGTCTAAATGCCTCTGCTATCATATCTGCTTCTACCACCTCCCCTGGCAGCACGTTCCAGGCACTTAGCACCCTCTGTGTGAAAGAAAATCTTGCCTTGCACATCATCTTCAAAGCTTCCTTCTTTCAAGTTAAACCTAGTATTTGGTATTTCCACCCTGGGATCCTCCGACTATCCGCCTATCGATGCTTCTCATAATTTTATATACTTCTATCATGTCACCCCCTCAGCCTTCCATGCTCTAGTGAAAACAACCCAGTTTGCCCAACTTCTCTTTGTAGCTAATACACTCCAGGCAACATCCTGGTAAACCTCTTTTTCACCTCAGCATCCTTCCTATAGTGTGGCGACTGGAACCACAGACGGTATAAATTTAGCCTAACTGAAGTTTTATACAGCTGCAACATTACATGCCAACTTTCATATTTAATTCCCTGACCGATGAAGGCAAGCATGCTGTACATCTCTTTACCACCTTATACACATGTTGCCACTTTCAGGGAGCTATGGACTTGCACTCCAAGATCCCTCTGTGTATCACTGCTCGTAAGGGTCTTGCATTTACTGTATAAACTATGCATCATAATGTATACTGTATGCATGGTAATACATCTGTGATGCTGAATCAGTGTAATTCCCCAGTAAATGTAGCATGCTTTGAGATTTTTTTCAGCACAAGATAATGTGAAAATCGTGGAATTTGTAAAAATTTTGAATTCTGTAGAACATTCCCATAGTTTATATTCAATATCTCATTTTTAATCTTTTTTGATGGTACATGTCATTTCCATCACACAAGTAAATTTGTGAATTACACAGATCATTCAGAAACCTTTGATATAAATAATTAAAAATAATAATTACTAAATAATTAAAATCTGCATAACTGAGTTAGTTGCTCAGCATCTGTTCATAGTTTGTCTTTCATTTTTATGACACAAAAGATTTTCATTTTGTCAACATACGTCCGCTAGTAGGAAATAACTTGAAGCTTTTGCTTAATATTAATAGTCTGATGCATTTAGTAACACCTGTATTTTGTAGAAAACACTCCAAAAGGTTTTGCAAGGCAATGGTACCATTACTGTGACTAGGTAGCTCCCAGAGACACTGGGAGCTTCACTTCTGATTTGCAAGGTTGGTAAGCTAGGTCAGAAAGTGTCAAGTGTTCCTATGTACTGAAGCTTGTCTTTTTTCAGCTGCCTTTGCAAAACTGCCACCACTCTTAATTTGCAATTCAAATATTTATTGGACGTAAGAGCTTTTGTAAATAAATTGAATGCCTAGCCATATGAAGATTGAGCAGGTTCCTGCTAATGTACACTGTGGAACTAATACTGTGTTGAGCATGCACCAAGCTTAATACTAGTGCTTGCATTAGCTGCCATCAAGCTAATCAATTAGTAAAACAGAAGTAAAATTCTGTGGATGCTGAAATCTCAATTAAAAAGAAAGTGCTGGAAGCCTTCAGCAAGTCAGGCAGTATTTGTGAAGTTTGATACCTGAAGAGTTACCACAGAGCTCCTGACCTGCTAATGTTTGCAGTATATTTTGTTTGTATTTCAGACAGTCACTTCTGCATACTCTGCAGTTACAAGGTTAAAATGAAGATTCAGTTAAACAGTCTTCAATTTAAAAAAAAACTAAATCCTCTTTAAACATATGCAATAGACACCAGAAACGTGGGGCAGAATTTATTGTAACTGAACCATGGTCCAGCCCACCAAATGGAGAACCAATGGAAACCTGCATCACTTCTAAGGGACCTCTCCAACCAAATAAGTGCCTATCACTAGCACTCCACTAGCCAGCATCAGCTTTCCCTGGAACTTTATATGCCAGAATGGAAATCCCACCTACTAAGTGATATTAGCCTTTTATGGGCCAGCAGCTCTCCCTTGCTAGTGCTATCATTGGGATCGTTGGATCCCTGGACTCAGGTGTCCAAAGGTGGGGAAAGGATTAGGGAGAAGGATGGTGCAAAGAGATAGGAAGCAAAGGTAGGGTGGGAGGTATAAACTTCCCCAAGACCTTCCTAAAGCAGGTTTTGTCAATCAGGCATTATGTCCCTTTTGAAAGAGAAAGCCAGGCAGGCAGACATGGCTTTTGGAAGGCAAGTGAAAGCTATGTCACTTATATTTAATCCCTAAGCTATGACTAAACTGTAGTTGGATCAGGGATAATTGGTGTCACTTGCTGTCATTGACATTCTACCAGAAGTAGGTGAGTTTCTCCAATTGACTCCTACTCAGTTGTTGGAAATTTTCCCACCACTCCCCTATGATTAAGTGGACCCAGCCAGCATGTTCCCTGCTGGAATTGGCTGCATTAAATCCAGATCATAGCCTCAGACATTAGTAAATTCTCTTCCAGATTTTCTCACAATATACACTATATGCTGGCTGAGATCCCTATTGGTGCAGCTTCTAATCTGGCTGCATATAGATCTGATACTGTTCAGCCTGCTGGGAAATGTTTTGGCCAAATCTAAGATAAGGATTTATATGCATGGACCTACATGCTGATAGTCTGTTGTAATTGTGCTGTGCTTTCTTCCCCTTCTCTTTTTTTTTGACTGAATATAAATTGCCAAGTTCTCCCCTTCCTCAGTGTTGTTAAAGTTAATTTCAAAGAAAATTAAAATGGATCATTGAGTCTAAACAAAATAATTCTAGGAATTAGCTACTGGAATTATAATCAAAAGTCACAAATTTAAATCATGGTCTCGCTGTGTTCTGTGGGGTGTTTTTTTGACATCATGGGTAGAATGCTGCAGAGTTCATTAATGGAACAAAGAAGAGAGAAAGGGACTTAAGAAAAAAGCCAGACTCAAAGTGCTTGCATTTTCCACATGCAAGAAAGTTCTTTATCTCAGCCAAATTATTAGAGGAAATGCCAAATCAGAAGCTGGCGACTTTCTCAGAGGAAAGGAGCAAATGTCAGCTGATCAGTCACACAAGGCCACATTTGTGCACTTCCTACTGGTTCAAACTGAAAGTTACAAAGCTCTGAAAGCGGGTCGCTTTGTGATTATTCTGTCTGAATATGAGTAGTATTTGTCTATATTGAATTTTGCACAAATCCATTGAGCAATCATAAAAAATGAAGGCCAATTAAAAAACCTTGCTAATGTCTGTCATTACCTACTTGAACGTGACCAACATGCAATGCCAGAGGAGGCTTCATTGATCACAAGATGTGGGGTGGCTGAGTTTCATGTCCTGCGAGAGGACTTCCAGACCAGAAAGCCAAGTAGATACCAGAGCACACACTCCTAATGGCCACAGATCACCATGATCCTGAATGGTTTTGTTTGCGACCCATTTCAAGGCTCTGAACCTGACTTGTCCAGTGTATTGCAGTCAGCGTCACACAGATGCATCCAACGAGTCACCAGTGGCCATTCTGCCACGGTGGGCTAGTTTATCTCCATCCTATCTCAAACATTGAGGGTGATAGGTTTGACCTCTGTTGCTGGCATTCCACACGTACATGATGTAGACAGCTGTACACTTATCAACAAAAGCACAAAACCAGAGTATGGACAAATATGTTAACCAGAAGGTTATCACTGGTTGAATGTGCAACTCATCTGTGCCCACCACACGAGATTTCTGCTTGTATGCAGCTCTTTAGGCCTGTGATCAGAGCTGCCATGAATGTTCTGACTAACCTCATCATGGGCCTGGATGGACAATGGGAGTTTAGGACTGTGCCCTCAGTAGCAGGCTGCTCATATCGTGAGGACAGCCGTAGTCAGAAGTCCAGAGAGTAGACAACAAGATCCACCGTCACACAAGGACATGAGTTGGAGGTGAGGGAGTGTCTTCTGCAAGCTGCATGTTCCAGAATTTGGCACAGAGAAGATAAGGAGGAGGAGGAAAAATTTCAGAAGGGGAAGAGAGTGAAAGGGAAGGCCCACAAGAGGGATCCTGGAGACAAGGCAGAACATGTCATCATTAGAGGGAATAAGGAATCCATGCAGACAACCATCATGGTCAAGATTTGCTGATACATCTGGGCGTCACATGATGGGAGACTTCCAGTAATGTGTCGGCAGACCTGGAAGACAGAGGAAGGAGCTGGGGACAGGAGAGGGGGTTTGGAAATATCATATATGCAACCACATATGTGGACTGATGAACTGGATGCTGTGGCCATCTGGCCAATAAGAAAAGAATGCATCTGACCAAAGTTGCACACGCAGCCATTCATGGTTCGGGATGTTGGCTTGCTGATCATGGCATTGACTTCCAGTTCCAGGAGGCCTGCGCTGGTGATAGGAAAATTAGAGGGAATGCCGATGTAAATAATTATGAATTTTCCCTCAAAGGTCTCAGTTTCACCAAATATGTATTTTGTATCTTGCTCTGCACAGCACTTACCTGAGTATCACAGTCACTCTGTGCTCCTTTCCCACCTATTCCATGGAGTTGGTGGCGCTGCACAAAAGATCACGTACTTTTTACATGTACTGTACATGTGGTGCTCACTCTCACAAGGCACCTCATCACGTGTTTCTCAACCTGAGACATTGCTGAGGTTATGATCCATGGACTCTTCTGCTCATAGACCAGGAGCTTGTGTTGCCTCAGGGAGCTCAGCAAGATGGCCACTTACTCTCCACTGCAGGCTCAAATACTCAGTCCCGAAGGGAAACCACTGAGGCTGTGTCCCAGTTCTGGATACTGCTTTTCTGCTGTGCACCTTCATCCTCTCCCAGAAGAAACTGTGTTTGACACCACCTCCTGGACTTTGGTGCTATGCCCTTCACTCAGTGCACCCCACTGTTATCTCTATGGTAAAACCCACCAGAATATCTGTCTCTAAGTTGGATCTGGCTCCCTTGAAAGATTGTGACAGTGCACCCTCAGACATGTACCTGCAATGAGTGGATTGCCTTATAATAAAAGACTAGACAGGTCAGACCTGTATCCTTTAGAATTTAGAACAGTAAGAGATGACTTAATTGAAACAAGTAAAATCCTGAGGGATGTCCAAAGAATGTTTCTTCTTACGACAATACTCACTGGAGTTTGGAATAATGAGAGGTGATCTCATTGAAACGTATAGGATTCTTAAGGGGCTTAAAAGGGTAAATACTGAGAGGATTTTCTCCCTGATGGGAGAGTCTAGGACCAGAGGGCATAGTCTCACAATAAAGGGGCACTATTTTAAGACTGACATGAGGAGAATATTTTTTCTGTCAAAGGATTGAGTGTCTTTGGAACTCCTTGCCATACAGAGCTCTGCAGGCAGAGAGTTTGTGTATATTTAAGGCCGAGATAGATTTTTGATCAGTAACAGAATTAAGCGCTATGGGGAAAAAGCAGGAAAGTGGATGTGAGGAATTTCGGGTTAGCCATGATCCTATCCTCCTCCTCTTACAACTTCTTGTGACCTGGCAGAGAGAATCTAGAACTAGGAATTGTACTTTAATAATAAAGGGGTTGCACATTTAAGACAGATATGAAGAAGCATTTTTCTCTTGGAGGGTTAAGTCTTTGAAATACCCTTCCTCAAAAAGCAGTGGATGCAGTATCCAAATATGTTTAAGGCAAAGGCCAATAGATTTTTGATTACCAAGAAAATGAATGATTATCAGTGATATGCAGGAATGTGAAGTTGTGGTTAAAATTGGATCGACCAATAACAATTGAATAGTAGAGAAGGCTTGAAGGGCTGAATGGCCTACTTTTGATCCTAGTTCATATGTCTGTAATTGTGCCTTACCTTGCTGTGGGACCTGTGAGAGAAGAAAACAAGCAATCACGAAAGAAAGCCCTGCACAGCATCCCCATTCTTAACCACCTTTTTAGCCATGCCTGAACAAGGACTGCCACCAGTCAGTGACCAGTTGTAGGCTGAACACATTCAAAGC